GATACATAAAACCATAGAACTCAAAGAAGGTGTACTTTCTTTTTCACATGACTGTACGTTGCCTCTGGTTCTTTAAACTTTAAAAAGCAGAGGTTTGATTAAAATGATGAAATCTTCTAAGAGAGATGTAAGAAGATTTCATCACTTTAATCCAACCTCTGCTTTTCAGTCTATCCTTCCATCTTGACCCATTTGATCCCCCTCCATATAGATGTTTTGGAATTCAGTGCTCATTCTTTCAATGACATTTAAGTACTCATTTCCCTGAAAACTTTTACATTTCTTCTGATGTACTGAGCTCACACTTCCTTATAATAACATGGGCAGCCACAGGGCCTCATATTCATTTTTGCTTCTTTCAACAAAATTCATTTCTCATAACAGACAATATACTTTTCCCTACCTTTCTACCACTATTTTTATCTCATTTTCATATCTTAAAATGTCTGCATCCATTTCCTATTACATCCTACTATTCTACAAAGTTACTCACTTCTTGTTTTACACCATTTAGTTATAACTTGTTCACTCCTTTTTCCCAGTCAAAGCTACCATGGTCTTTCCTACCTAAATGTTCACATGTATGCTTCATGTTGAATCATACAATCTGACATTTGTTGGAAAGCATTTGTGTTTTCAGATAACAACACAATATTATTTGCATATAAAAGTACGTATATATTCATACCCTGCTAATGCATCTCTAACATCACTATAACTATACTTACACATTTCTCTGTAAATACACTAAGCCAACAAGGGAACATCATAGATTTTAGTCTTACTCTGTACTCTTCCATCATTTACCATTTTTACTACATTCAGCAGCCAACCTTCAACTCCATATTTGTGCAAAACATTTTATAATTAAAGCATATTCATGTTGTCTTACACTTTCTGTAAACTTCCTTTTTCTCATACATTTCTCAGTATCTTTGGAAGAGAAAAAAATCTAGTCTGTATACCTCCTACTTAGCTTAAAGTTATACTGCACTTCTCCAATTTTGGATATTATTATGTGTTGTACCTGTTTGGTCAGAATTCTGCCAGATACTTTCCTAGGTACACTTAACAAATTAAATTCCTTGTACTTTTTGGTTTCACTCCTTTTATCTTTCTTTTTGTGTTCTTGCA